TTATGAACTCTTTAAGATTTTAGTAAATAACAAAGTAAACTACTGAAAGACAATACAATATCAGCTATTGTTTTATTTAATGTACTGAGATACTATACAAGAAAATTAACAATTTCCAATAAAATTTCTGATCCATTTTTATTACTTTCTTCCCCTAAGGAATTATCATTTTTATACCCAGGGCAGGCTCAGTCATCAATTTGTTTGCCCAAAATTCCATTTCCTCTAGATTGTAAAGTTAGAGTCTCATCAGAGAAAATCTAGGCATTAGAAAAATGATAGGAATCACACATATTCTACTACTCCAGCACAATTATCTTCTATATTTCATCTTCATTTTTTTTGTTGTTTTTTGAGACAGAGTCTTGCTATTTAGTCCAGCATGGCCTAGAACTTACTATGTAGCCCAGGATAGCATCAAACTCACAATAATCCTCCTGGCTCAGCTTCTTAACTGCTGGAATTACAGGTGTGTGCCACCATGCCAAGCTCTAAGTCATGTTTTTGTTCTTATATATTTTTCAGTGATTTAAAGCATGCATTTCATTTTTTAAAATTCTACAATCTAAAAAAATTTGGAAATAATCCTGGAATTTATATTTATTGAATTTTCCAGTTGAAATTTTATCTTTTAATTTTTTTCATGTATTTCAGTTAAACTTTTTCAGATGAATAAATATATGAAATTATATCTATAATCTTTATTACATTTTTCTTAAATATGCAGTTCTTAGGAACTAGAGTAGCAATTTAAGATTAAGTTGGAGTGAAATACTTTGTAAACTGTAAACATACAATGTCACTTTTCTTGGACCAATTTGTCATGGTTTCTGTTAAATTAAGGTAGAAAAAGGAAACAATTAATGATTTTGTTTTCTTTTTCTTTGTATCCATAAAAGTTTAATCCTTTCATATGGATAAGAGTTTATGTGATTATGTTATTTTCAGTGGATCACATAGTAGTCATCTCTAAGTTCTTAGTAGAGAAATTATATTTATTGAAGGATATATAAGAAAATTGATAGGGGAGAATTACAATAGATTTTTCCCATTAATTGCCTATCAAGTAATAATAAACTTAACAATCACTATCTATCAGTAATATAAAGTTATATATTCCTTATATTCATGTAATAGAAAAACTAACATCGATTACTGTACTTGGTAAAGTTTCTTTATTTTGAAATACAACTATTCATTTTATGCATATAATTATACATTAAAAAGTAAACTCTAGAGAAATACTTCTAGTAACATGAAGGAAGTTATAATTTAATTTAATACAAACCTCTTAGGTAGAACACACTTTATGAAATGAACCTGTGGCTTCCAAGAAATCAACAATGCTAAATCAAAATCATTTGGCATACAAACCACTTTAATTTATTGTTTGTAATTTTTCTCAATATGAATTAATATTGCATTAAATTTTCTTCTATTCCAATTCTTATTTTATCATTTCTATGCCATAACCAAATAAACAGTCTCCAGGAGAGACATACAAACATAGAAACATAGAATTGTGACTATTTATTAACTATATCAAAATTATATCTTTATAAAGTAAATGTTACTCATTAAAGTTATGGCATATTATTAGTGCTGCCCCATTTGTATGTTGAATTCCTGATTCCCAGTACTGTGAATGTGATCTCACTTGGGAATAGGTCATTGTGAGTGTAATCAGTTAAGATGAGTTCAAGTTGGTGTAGGGTTGGTCCTTATATGACTTTTGCTTATACAAAGAGATAATTTAGAACAGACACAATCAGTGGGATAGTGACACATAAAGCTTAGTTATGCTGCTAGAAGCTAAGGAAGCTGGTAGAGAAACCAGGAACTCATCATTCCCTTAGTAGGTGTGTCAGTCCTGAAGCAGTGTGGGCTGTACATGTCTGGCTTTCCTAGACACAGTAAGTAAAGAAGAAAGGAGAACAAGAGATGGAGAGAGAAGGGAGAAAGAGGAGGGGAGGGAAAGGCATTGTTTACAAGTAACAACTCCGCATGATGAATGCTATGATTAACAGTATGTACTGCACACATATACTAATAAATGCATTACCTTGGGCCACACATAAAACATATAGTTAATATACGTAACTATCAAAACTTTCATCTCTAAAAATAGCTTTTATTATAACACAAGCACGTTCAACCCTGCAGGATGAAAGCTGACTATGCCTGAAATTTCAGGGACAGCATGGGTTGTTTGACACCTTGATGCTGGATTTTAACCTCCATATTTGTATAAGGTGTGTTGTGTACATGGGGCAACTCCACACAGGAATGAAAACATTAGGTACTGTGGACATGTGTTAATAAAAAATAAAATAAGCAAATAAAATGTCAACTATATATTTCTGTTATTTTACCTACCCTGTTGATGCTTTGTTGCCTAAATCTTAACTTATAAAAATTTGGGGCTGGAAATTTAGCTGAATGGTGCTGACATCTATCTATTAAGCAGAAGGTCCTGAATTTGATCCCTGATACCAAAAAACCACAAAAAATCAAAAAAACCCACAAAACTGGTGCCAGTTACTGTTGGTAGCAGGTACTGTGGTACTTCTGTTAACAATTATCTAAAATTATGAAAATGATTTTGGGGCTGGGCAAAGGCAGAAGCTGGAAAAGCTTTGAGGAACATGGTAGAAACAAACAAAGAAATAAACAAAAGCTTCAATTGCATGGAAAACAATGCTGCTAAAAGTATGAGTGACCTCTGATAAGGTGGCAACAGGTATGAGGAATTTGCTGTTGGAAACTGGTAGGAGGGGAATCCTTGCCTTAAAGTTAACAGAGAAATTGTCTGCACTGTTTTCTTTCTTGTGGAAATGGTTGGTGAGATTTTTATCAGGTACAATATGGGGATATATGTTTTCATCAAGAAACTTTCCTAGGTTGGAATAAAATGAAGATATTAAGCATCGAATGAAGGAAATCTACTCATGAACAAAGCAGGTTTGTCAAACCTTGGGAGAAACATTGGCCTACGTAAGAACCATGTTTGTCCCTCTCCTATGAGTGTGAAGCATGCAGAAGGAATCATGCCATAAATCAAAATGTCAAGAACTTATAAACTGAGTGTGAAATATAACTCATATTAATGGGACATTAAAAGCTAACATAGTACCAAGTAGAAATCAAGTCTATAATATATGGCACAGCTGACTACTCAAAAATAAACATAAAAATTAATGTTTTAAAGTATGTGACATCACTGAACGTTGTTGCCTTGTGTTATGATCTTGTTGATTTAAAATAAAATTGCAGAAGTAATGTTGCAGTTTACTGGATAAGTTATAAGATTTTCTTTTCCACTTTTCTTCAAATATAAATACTACATCTGTAAGCAAATATTTGTTTACTTTAAACATGCAGATATGTCTACTCTGAGAATGTAAAAGGTACTGTCCATTATGATATTAGCCAAGGAAATAACCTTTGGGTAGAAGTTTCATGAGAGAGAGTAAAAAGTCCATGAATACATAAATCCTAGAATAGATTTTACAGTATACTGAGAAATTTTTTATGACTCAGGTCTACATTTCCACAAAGCATCAGAAATTTCTCTAGTTAATAGGGTGAGTCTGAATAGTACAATAAATCCTTTGATGTGGCAACTTTGAAGATCGTGGACCAAGTTGGAAGGTTGTCATCTTTTTCTCTTAAAGACCTTTATGAAATTGAAAAGCTCATTATTTTTACTCTACAAATATAGTTTTGAAATATTTATTGTCTACATTACCTACAGACATCATAGAAGCTTAACTCTTAAAAGTTGATAGACATTGTCTCTTATGTCAAATATTATGTGAGCAAAGATTTTTGTAAAATGCTAAAACAATTAACTGCTAATTTGGCAAATGCTTTGAAAGTTTTTATTCAGTCTGCCTCTGTTGTGAGTATTCTAATTAAATATGTCTTATTTCCCTAGGTTTAGCTGTGATAAATTTCTGTTGCAAAATTTATCTTTTGTCTTAGTTTAATTCTTGTTTACTGTTTAAATTGTACTTTTTTTTTTGGTACTAGGGATAGAACTCAGGACCTTGTGCTTGCGAAGCAGGTGGCTCCACCACTGAGCTAAATCCCTGGCCCTTAAATAGTATAATAAAAGTATATTTAATTTCTAGTGTAGGGGTATGATTCTCATTAATGCAGTGATATAAATAAATCATATTCTGTTCAATAAATACAAAAAATACATGCAAAAATATCTGAACAAGGAAATTATTGTATTCTAAATTAGGCTATTACACAAATGACTCTTAACAAGCAAATGATATGAAATGACCATATATCTCCATATTCACTTAGCAGGTATTTAAATTTATCCATGAAAAATGAGATAAAAATATGTGACCTACATATTACAAATTTATGGAAATGATAAAAGACTTCAACAAGTATCTGAATTTCCTTCTCATTATATGAGTAAAAATTATTTCTTATAGATGTATCCTGTACTCCTAAATTTTTGCAGTTTTCTATATATAATGCTCATTATCATATAAATTTGATCTAATTATGATTTCCAGGTTTGTGACTGAAGCAACTAATTTCTATCCCAACTAGATAACATGTAAAATATCACATATTTTCAATAATATTCAGTATCATTCTGATTTTGAAGGGATTTCAAAGATGATAACTATATAGTCTATCTCTACAATTCTCAGGTTTTTCAAAGTCAAATAATTTACTCAATTTTTCAGTATCAAATGTTGCTTAATGGTCAGAAATCTGTTTTCCAATGGTATTTGAAAATCTCCAGGAAAATCATGTTTGAATTGAGCCATGTGACCAATTACAAATAAATTAATATTTTTTATCATTCATGTATATTACATTTTTGTGATTATTGTAATTTTGTGATTATTGGAATGTTATCAGCCATTTGTATCTTCATGACTGAATCAGTTTTGATGACTAATTTTTTTTCTGCAGGGGTCAAGTTAGAATAAATTTTAAAAATTATGTCCATGTGCTCTCTGTCACAGCTATTCATTTCTGCTGCTGTAGCCTGAATGCAGCCATTGACAGGACATGAAGCAATGAGTACTGCTCAGAGCCACTACAACTTTCAAAAGTAGGCATCAGCCAAAAGTAAGCATATGGGCCTTTACTTGCTGACATCTGATTTTCACCGTTCTCAGTATACAGTTTACGTTCTCCGGATTTTGCTGCCCTTCTCCTCCTTGCTGTTCATTACTTTATCAATACGTCAGAAATTGAGTTCTATTTTTGTCCCATTTTTCTAATTTTGCCCACCTGCTCACGGTCATCCAGCACAATTCTACGAGTTATCTGTGTCTTTCCCTCTGGCCCCTCTCCTTCTCTGCATGTTGTTTTAGATTTTACTATCACAGTATCTCAACTTTTATCCTTCTGCTGTCCATGTTCCTACTCAAATTTAGCATGTACCATTCTAGTTTTGAATATTATAAAATTCTAAGTGAAATTCCTAAATTTTTCTCACTCACAAATATATTTATCCATGGTTTAAACCAGCTACAGACAATAATGCACATGAAGATCACAGCTCCTCCTCTCTCCAGAAGCAACTCCAGTCATGCTTCTGAGTGTCCATTCTACTGGGAATCTTCATTTTGCTCAGCAATGGCTTTGGATTAAAAATGATTGTCAGATTTCAGGTCTCATCAAGTTTGATCAATTGATGAGATTTTCCAGAGTGCTCATTCCCTCCATAAGACACTTTCATTCTTTGGCTTTCATACCCTAAAATTCCTTGTTTTTTTTTTTTTTTTCTCCTATGTCATTGGCTACTGCTATTGGGTTCATTGCTTCGCATCTCTCAGGTCTGTTAATATTGGAATTCTAAAACTGAGATTTTTCACTATTCAATAAAACTGAGCAGCTAATTTTGTTTTTGTAATTGTTTTTTTTTTTCTATTTTCCCTGATGTAGAAGGATTTACTACCAAGCTTCCCATTATATGTGGGGTGCTATGTTCTCATGTTTACAAAGATAATGAAGATTAACTTTTGTTTTAAAAAAGATAAATTTCAATGTAAGTGAATTATTTCAGGGATTTATTAATCATGGATTTTAGCAGTATAAAATACAAAGAAAAGTTATTTTCAAAGTGGTAGCAATAAAAACATTTTCTCTACAGTGATTATTTATCAAGTATAAAAATACCATGAATATTTTGAAAAACAGCATGAATTTTACTGGGAGTCAGTTATTTATCTCATTTTATAAGGTAGGTGGTCAATTTTAAGGCCTTTTAACATAAATGCTATAAAGTATATAGTATTTTCATGAAAATTAATGAGCTTATGATATCTTTTAAATGGAGATTCAGAATTTAAAATATTGATGAAATAATACTAATACCTAGTATAGTAATCTTCATTTTGACATTTTTTTGAAAATTAATCTTAAAATCATTTGTGCAAATAAAATGTGCCATATTTAAATTTAGTAAGGAACTTTGGCAAGCCTTTTAAAATGTATTTGATGCCCATCAACTGGAGACTGGATAAAGAAAATGTGTTTTTTTTATAAAATGGAGTACTACTCAGCCATAAAAATGAGAAATTAGAGACATTTATAGCTAAGTGGATGCACATTGAGGCGATACTCTTAAGTGAAATAAATAGGACACACATGTATAAATACCAAATAGTTTCTCTGGTGTGAAAAACTGAAAGTGTAAATAAGGACTAAAATGTATAATAGGTAATACGAAATAGGAAGAGAAGGGGCAAAGCGGAAGAAAGTGGGAGGGCTAGGGGAAAGGATAGAAGAGAATGGGATTAATATGAGGAAATGGAAAAATAGGAACAAAATCTTTGTAAATAGGGAGGAATGGAGGGGTTGAAGGGAGGGCTGGGCAAGGGTGAAAAATAAGAACCAAGATGCATTATGTAAAGGTACAATTCCCAATGAGAAATGTAATTGTGTTGTATACATACAATGTACCAATAAAAGAATTTAATTTAAAAAATTAAAATGTGTTTGAATGAAAATATGAGAAAAGTGATTGTAAATGTATTGAAAATTATTTTTTTAACACAGGGCATGGTCTATATTCCAAAAGTTTGAAAATAAGGACAAATTTAAAAATGATTGGAAGACAGCTTCTAGAGATGAGTACCAAAAAGTTCTCATCGCATACATCACACGTATCCCCCTTTGCCCTTGTGTCCAGAATAGCGATGATTTATCTCGAGACCAATGAGATGTGGCAGAAATGAAACTATTTCAACATTGGGCTTAGATTTTTCATGGCCTGGCAGTATCCACCTTTGGGAACCCAGAGCAACACAAACAAAGATCCAGGTTGCACAGCGGGAGAGACTACATGAAGTGAGATCAATTTGCTCCACATTAAGTATAGAGGTGCCAGATATTTGACAGAAGGAGTTTAAAATTTTTTGGCACTCATTGAGCCTGTAGAGGATCTTTAAGTACCTATTCAGACTATGAAAGATCTTAAACAATCAGCTAGAGCAGTTAATTAGCTGCCACCAGCCTGGACCAAAGAATAACTAGATATATCTTAATTACAGTTTTAAGCTGCTAGGTTTTTGGGAGTTTGTTTTTTAGCAATAGATAGCATAATGTAGTTGATAGCTGCAATGAATAAGCATCATTAATGCAGGGATTCTCTGAGTCTTTAACCTATCAAATTATGTTTTATCTCTGTAGAATGGGATGTATTCAGAGAAAATTCTCTGATTAATTTTTAACAAATTATATAATATCCTAAAATATTCAATATTTTACAAACATTTCTGACGTTGTAAAGTAATATAATGGAAATATAATAGAAGCCACTGTACTTTATTTCTTTACTCAATAATGTTAGAATTTGCAAGGAAATAATATATATATATTTATATATTTCTTCTTCTTTTTATAAAGTTTATTTAATAGATTCATCCAGGTATTTATATGGATTGATAGTTCCTTCCTTTTTATTAATGAATAGTATATCATAGTTTATCCATTGATAACAGTTGTAGGTTTATTTAATATGATTCTAGTTTATGAGATTTTACTTCTCTTGAGGTATGTTAATTCAACTGAAGGATTGATAAGAGTTTAGTCCTGATTGGAATGGTCTTAATTCCATGTATTCAATTAATAATTAATACAATGTAACTAAAGAAATATGCAAATGCAAGCATGTAGTCTGGAATAGCTGGTATTATATTATGGTAGACAGTATTGCATTATCCTAGCAAATATGTTGAAATGAGACTGGGACCTTCACATGTAAGTATAAAATTTCAGTTCCATTTATTATAACCCTATATCAAATCCTGGCACAATATTAATCTAATTTCATAAAATTTATGACATTTATTTCATTTCCTCCTTTCTAAAAAAAGATCACAAGGTTTCTCAAATCTCTGAGGTATTTTAGCTTAATGTCTTTATTGCTCCTAAATAAACACAAAACACTACCGATTATTTTATATTCATCATCTCTCCCACCACAATTCTGTTTTTTAAAAAATGTCACCATGATTTTTATTTAATGTTATCAGAGCATAGAGTAATGGAATAATACTATAAAGTGTACTTTTTAGGAAATATTTTTGGAGGTGGTGAAATTTCCATCACTTGAGGGATTTAACAACATTGTTGTAGGCAGAGAAGATGGATGAATTATCAATAACATTGCAAATTAGGACAGACATATATGTACTACACATTGTAATATACCTATATGAAAGGGAAGAAACTGACATTCACAGAATTTGATAGAAATATTGGGGAAAATGAGTGTGAGAAGAATTTGTGAATTGAACAATATTGACACCAATTGCAACAGTGAAGCTGTCAGAGGTCATTGCTAAATCTAGGAGTAAGAAACATTTCCATCAAAACCTCATTTATTAAATCAAACCTCAGTAATTGGACAGGAAAAAAGAAAGGAAGGAAGCACGGCAGGGAGGGAGGGATGTAAGGTAGGAAGTAAGGGAGAGAGTTCTAGTATATTTTGAAAAAGACAATCTATACTCTAGTAAGGGACAGATTTCCAGTGTATTTTGAAAAAGATCATCTATATTCACACCATTTATGATACAACGTGCACAAATGTTCTCTGCTCAATCTCATAGCCTCTGTGCCTTTCATCATTCAAAACACAAGAAAATTGTTACAATCAAGGAGGAAAAGCAGAGATCAGAGAACAGAGCCAATGAGTGTTTTATGGTTGATTTTTCTGTTTTGCTGGGTCCTGCTTTCAGTGTGTTACAAAATCTTATTTCCAGCAGATAGCCATGTCTACTTTAGGGCATGAGCTTTATGTTGAAAGACCATATATAATTGTTTGTTGTATTAGATGTCTAGATTGTTTGTGACTCAAAATAATAATGATGACAATAGTTATTATTTTCATGTAAATGTTCTAGCATTTAATTTATGTATAATAGTCTCTCTTTTCAGGCTTTGTATTTCATCTAATTATGAGGCTTTTAATAAACTGACTCTTGGAAATTAAAATTATTTACTTCATAATTGATTCCATACCCAAACCCCTATGTATGATGTTTTTAATCTTCTTAGAAACCTCATACTTCCTGTATTTTATCAGGGAGTTTTGTGAAAAAAATAAAAATAAATATTTTAAGTGAATATTTAGTCATTTTAATTTGATAGCAATTAAGAAAGATCATATCATGTATATTTCTATATATTAATGTCAACTCAGAACAGAACACTAAATAATTTGTATAACTCTTCAGGAAGTTAAAAGTTATGTTGTATGTATTACTCAAGGATCTTCAGCAGAACAGAACCAAGATGGTATATGTTTATGTGTAATATACAGGAATTAGCTCAAACAATTATGGAGGCCAAAAAATGCTAACATGTACAGCCTGACTTGGCAAGCTAGAGACCCAGGAGAGCCAGTGGTGTGCTCTCCATCCAAGGACAAAGGTATTAAAACCATGAAAGTAAATTCTGTGATTCTCATTGGAAGTCTGAGAATCCTGAGACTAAGAAAGTATGAATATTTCAGTCTGAGTCTGAACATAGAAAAAAGCCAATGGCTTAATTTGAAGGCAGTAGGGCAGAAGCATTCTCTTCTTCTTGGAGGGAGATCAGCCATTTTGTGCTCTTTG